CTTAGCACACAGTGCTCAGCACAGGTCAAATTCTTAGCTGTTGTTCTTAGACGGTGTTTGCTATATTTCATAGAACCATAGAATCATAGAATGGTCCAGGCTGGAAGGGACCTCCAAAGGTCATCTAGTCCGACCTCCCCACAGTCAGCAGGGACACCCCCAACTAGACCAGGTTGCCCAGGGCCTCATCGAGCCTCACCTTGAATATCTCCAGGGAACCATCTCCTCAACCACCTCCCTGGGCAACCTGTTCCAGTGCTCCACTACCCTCACAGTAAAGAACTTATTCCTAATTTCCAACCTAAATCTGCTGCCCTCCAGCTTAAAGCCATTGCCCCTCATTCTGGATAGCTGTCATCTTATTAAAACAATTTACAAAATTTCATCCTATGAGACAATCTGTATGCCACTACAATTCTTGCACCGATTAGCTTGTGACTTTGTTCCCAGGTATTTTATGCTAAAAACAGACTGGAAAAGAGGAAATAATAACCTGTCTTCAACCAAATTATTTGATGACAACCACAGCATTAGGTGAACATCTTCCTATTAAAGACTGCCAATATCTAAAGGACGAAATATTGAAGCAATGATCTTCACCTCTTTGTCAAATGATTGTTCATGTGGCTGCTTTGTTTCACACTAGTTTGTTAGCAAGTTCTGCACATGCATTTCTGGTTCTTTAAAATAAATGTTGGCTTTGCAAAGGCAAATGTCTTTAAGATGTGGTGACTTCCTAGATATTAGAAAATGTCAAAGGTGTTATCACTTTAAATATTACTTTTATTTACTACTGCATTCATCTTTGACTTATACCAAAAATGGGAAGGAGAGTTCCAAGATGTCACTGATTCATTGATTTATTCTGGTTTTTTATAAGGTAGAAAGTCCTGTCAGACTTTCAGGGAATATAGACATGTCTTTCCCCTTTGTCAGGCCTTGCACTCATTGATACCAAGATCTGATGTATGTATTCAATCTGAGAAGTATTTTTTCTCTGAAAACAGTTTCACTCCAGCAGAAAAACATTTGAACTTCTTCAAAATCACGAGAATGTACCAATGCATGCTTTTTTTGTGGCATTTCTTGGTATGTGACTTTAATGTCCACCTTCTACATTTGACAGCTTATAATCACTGTTAATTTCCTCTGATAAATGATGTCTTTGGCCTGTAACAGTAAACACATGGAGCAGTATTCGCTTTCTTACCATACTTTGATTTCTCTTAGCACACAGTGCTCAGCACAGGTCAAATTCTTAGCTGTTGTTCTTAGACGGTGTTTGCTATATTTCATAGAACCATAGAATCATAGAATGGTCCAGGCTGGAAGGGACCTCCAAAGGTCATCTAGTCCGACCTCCCCACAGTCAGCAGGGACACCCCCAACTAGACCAGGTTGCCCAGGGCCTCATCGAGCCTCACCTTGAATATCTCCAGGGAACCATCTCCTCAACCACCTCCCTGGGCAACCTGTTCCAGTGCTCCACTACCCTCACAGTAAAGAACTTATTCCTAATTTCCAACCTAAATCTGCTGCCCTCCAGCTTAAAGCCATTGCCCCTCATTCTGTCACTACAGGCCTTTGTAAACACGCTCTCCCCAGCCTTCCTGTAGGCCCCCCTCAGGTACTGGAAGGCTGCTATCAGGTCTTCTTGGAGCCTCCTCCAGGCTGAACAACCCCAGCTCCCTCAGCCTGTCCTCCTAGCAGAGGTGCTCCAACCCCCAGATCATCCTCATGGCCCTCCTCTGGATCTGCTCCATCAGATCCACGTCTTTCCTATATTGAGGGCTCCAGACCTGCACACAATACTCCAGGTGAGGTCTCACCAGAGCAGAGTAAAGTGGCAGAATCACCTCTCTGGACCTGCTGGCAACACTTCTTTTGATGCAGCCCAGGATGTGATTGGCCTTCTGGGCTGCAAGTGCACACTGCCTGCTCATGTCCAGCTTCTCGTCCACCAGCACCCTCAAGTCTCTTTCCTCAGGAATGCTTTCTAATACCTCACCCCCTAGTCTGTACTGATGGTGAGGATTGTTCCGGCCCAGGTGCAGTACCTTGCACTTGTTCTTGTTGAACCTCATGAGGTTCATCTGGGCCCACCTCTCCAGCCTTTCCAGGTCCTTCTGGATGACATCCCATCCCTCTGATGCACTGACAACACCACGCAGCTTGGTGTCATCTGCAAACTTGCTGATGGTGCCTTTAATCCCTCTGTCTATATCATTGATAAAAATGTTAAACAGCACCGGCCCCAGCACAGACCCTTGAGGAACACCACTTGTGACTGGTCTCCATCTGGACGCCGAGCCATTGAGTACTAGCCTCTGGATGCAACCATCCAGCCAGCTCCTTATCCACTGAACAGTCCACCCATCAAATCCGTACCCCTCCAATTTGGTAAGCAGGATATTGTGGGGAACCGTGTCAAAGGCCTTACAGAAGTCGAGATAGATCACGTACATAGGTCATCGCTTATCAGCTGACCTAACCACTTTATCATAGAAGGCCACTGGGCTAGTCAGGTAGAACCTGCCCCTAGTAAAGCCATGTTGGGTGTCCTGAATCACCTCCCTGCCCTTCATGTGCCCAAGCATGGTATCTAGAAGTATCTGTTCCATGATCTTCCCAGGCACAGAGGTGAGGCTTAATGAAAGCTCTCTCTTGTCTTCTTGTGTTTATTTCTTCTATTTTGAACTATGACTGTTCTAGTTTTGCATACCCTGACCTTTGGGAGGATCTGAACGAGGAAGATAGGGCAATTTCAGCAAATATGTCACTATGTGGGCTTTCTTGCTTGCAAACTTCTGTTTTAAGCAGCTATGAGATTAATGTGTCAGTCACTGGCTAATTCTTGTTACTGGATTTACAGCTCATCCCTTACCTCTCCCTGTCTCAGACGTATTGACTGGAGCTTAACAGAACTGAATGTAAACGTTTTCTCCCCCACAGTCTCATTTTCTTCCTCTTTGCCTGCTTGTAAGGAAAACAGCCCAATTCTTCCTCCTCAGATCTTTTTTGGGCTTTCCCCTCTTTCTTGTCCAGAAAACTCAGGTTATTCCTCTTCATCCTCAGCAGATGCCAGGGTAACCCTCTCCTCTACTTACTCTCTGCCAGGTTTCTCCCCCAGGCTTGTGTTCCATCACACCGGGATTTCTGCCCAGTTTGCCTTTCTGGACTTTCTTGTGGATATATGCCAAATACTATTGCTCATGCTCTGTTTCTTATTTGTTGATATGATATCCCTGATTTCACTATTTTGCTTAGCTGACCTCCTTCCTGGCATTGCCTCTCCCATTTCTCACTTATTATAATAACCAATTCTGGCTTCTTTAAAGCACCTCAGTAACTCTGCACATCCTTATTGTACCTCACTGAGGTTCATTCTGATCCTTTCTTGTTTATGCCACCATACCTCATCTACTGGTTTCATAGCTTCACCCACATTTGCCTCTGACTTTTATTACAAAAGTGACAGTGTTAATTAGGACTCATCCCAGAAATTTCCTGCTCTGTACCCATTTATGTCTTTTTAATTCCAATCATACCTAAAAGGAATCAAACAATGTTTTTCTTCAGAAAGAACTCTTTTCCACATAAGTCTCTCTACTTTTCTATGCTTTGGTCATCATTCCTTGTCCTGGTTTGAGGTAAAACAGAACTAATTTTCTGTTCAGTAATTTTACTTTTTGAGCTAGGCCTCTTCTGACTAACTAAACTCTGAAATTAACAGCATATTGTTCAGAAACTGTTCACTCTCACAGTGATAAGACCTGATTATACCAAGGAATGGTATGCAGAGAGGCCCCTGCTTATACTTATTGCTATAACAACCAAGGTCAGGTAAATTTGTTATTTGCCCCGTTGGAGGGTCGGAAGCGGAAAAGCGTAGAGGGGTCACACCTGTAGGAAGGAACAGACAGGACAGGTGACCTAAAACTGACCAACAGGGTATTCCATCCCATCCGCATCATGCTCAGTATAAAAGCTGAGGGATCAAAGGGTCAACCCTCTTCCTTCAATGGCCGACGTCCGAGGAGGAGCCTGTCTCTTCGTCTGCCTTTGATCCCGATCCGAGTGTTCCTGACTCCAGATCTGGAATCAGGCTCCTGTCAATCACCGAGTCCGGCCTGGGACTTCCCCCTGCGCCGGCCGGAGACGTGATCGTCATCCTGGGAGCTTGATATGGTTTTGTATATACTGTATACATTTGTATTTTATTTTACTTTTTTTTTCTCTTTCCTTTTTTTTCTTATTTCATTATTTATTTATATTTTTATTAAAGTAGTTTAGTCTTTTTCTAAACTCATAGTTTTTTATCCCCCTCTTCCTCTCCTCTCTTTTCCTTAGGGGGGGGAGGGGAGGGGCCATCTGTCGTTCTGGTTGGTCAATTTGGTCAAAACCACGACATTCCTGTTGTCCATGGAGAGGACCTAAAAGGTCATGGATTAGCATGTAAACAATATCATTATTAAGCAAAGAAATACTTCTGAGCAATTTTCTGAGATAGCTCCAAACAAAACTAATTGATTTGACTATTTTTTGGCTATTGATTTGGCTATTTTTTTGACACGCCCAAAGTTATCTCCAAACTGCAATCCAAAGGAATGACAGAAAACTGTAGAGACATGCCCATGATAATGAGCTCAAAGCCCTTGTTCAAGCTACCTAGATAAGTACCTACAAAGTATAGCACAGGGGTACAAAGCACAGTCTGAACCAGGGGCTGAAGTTTTCACAGAAGAGTTTAAAACAAGTTTCACATCCAGGATTTCATTCAATGCATGTGGCATGCAGAATTGTCTGCTCCCTGAGGAAAGTGGGTTCATGCAGGCATATGTTGAGCTCACGGAGTGTTCTGAATTCCTTTGTGTTCAATGAAATCTGCTGCAGGAATCAGATGTTACCAGGCTATTTCAGGTAAACTCATTTGGCCTTCAGAGCAAAAATATCCCATTAATCTATTTCAGAGCTTAAGGAGTTAAGTTAAAACGAGTTACCTTTTCTTGATATTGTCTCCGTGAGGAATCCAGAGACTGAATGAGGGCAGTGGCGTGACCAACAAACATGGCATAGCAAGTTGCCCCCACAATCATACTCAACATGGTTATCCAGAGGTCGGACATGCTGACAGGGGCGCGGGCTCCATAACCAATGCAGAGCATATGGCTCATGGCTTTGAAGAGTGCATATGAGTACTGCTTTCCCCAGGAATCGTTCTGCAAGAAAAGAGACAAGTGACTGAGCCAGCAAGCAGCTGAAGAAAAAATGCATTTGTACCTGTATAGTGGGATCATAGATTACTGGCTCTGTAAGAGCAGTCTGACAATGTATCCTCTGTGCACGAGAAGAGATATCCCTCCTAAATTAATTGTTAGATAAAGCGTCAGAGATCCTGCCAGATAATACTTAGCACAGTGAGATGAAATAAAATTGACTATTTTTAATACATGATTGTATTCTTAAATGTCGGTGTTAACCTAATTACAAGGAGACTAAAGGTCAATTTTATTTTACAGTCCATGGCAGACGGATTAGAAAGATCTGAGCGCACAGACTTATCAAGCACAAGAAGGTAGTGTTTTGTTTTAATATGCCTGAACATACTTCTGTGGCCCCACTTCTTTCTTTTCAGAGTTGCCCGTTTTAAAACACAACCACATTTCATCTTATCAGCTGTTTCACTCCTCAAGGACAGAAAAAAAAAGAAGTTATTTGTTGTGATGTCTGCTTGTCCTGTATTTTCTTGTAATACTGTGTTTATACCAGAAGTAGCCCAACCCAAAAGAAGTCTGTTTATTCTGCAATCATAACAAACCCATGTTCATAGCCAAGGTCTGTGAAATACAGCTCAAAAGAAAAGGTGAATAGCTGGGTCCTGCATTTGTGATGTGTAGCTACCCCTTCTCATTCTCTCTGGGAGATTAGAAGGACCTGACAGCTCACTCACAAGCTTTTAAAACTGCTAAGGTGTTGTCAGCATCCTCTCTTTAGCTTTACATAGAGACAAAGGGGCTGCTCCCAGAGAAAAGCAGACACTTTAACACATTCCAAAAAGCCCTGGGACTCCTTGTCAGATTTTCTATTTTCCTTGCCAAAGGAATGAAACAAGAACAGGAAAACAAATTGTGCTTGGAGGCATGCAGCATACATGAGAAAACACAGTATTTACCACAAAGAACTGAGAATAATTTCAGAAATGAAGAAGCAAAGGCGGAAGAACTGGAATGACTTTAATAAGATTAGGCAGCTATCCAGTATAATGTCTAATAAACAGGACCAAAAATAATAATCCTTTTAATATAAACAAATCTCCAAATCAGCAGTAGCATATATATATAAAATTTACATTTGCAATATTGATATTTGTGTCTGTCTTCCACCCATACAAGCTCTGATCAAAAGCTCTTCTCAGAGAACTTCAGACTTGCTCTCTTTCCATTTAAATGCCAAGGTTACTATCTACTCTTCTGCTTTTAATCTATTAAAATGCTTTTTCTGGACCCGCCCGCATTAGCTAAAGCAACTGGTAACAGGAACTAAGCTAAAAAATCTTGGATCACAGATGACAAAGTTACTATTTATTAACTAATAATTTTCAAAGTATTGTTTCCTCTCTTTTTTAACTAAGTTAAAGCTTTTCAGATTTGCGAGCTGCTTCTGTCTTCAAAAATGAAAAATTTGTGCCATAAACACTGCTAAGGAATAGGTTTTCAATGTCTGTATTTAAAAAAAGCAGAATTATCTTAACCTGCTGGTAATCAGGTGGGTTTCACTGAGTAATGAGGAAATGTTTTCTTTCATTTTGGGGCCTCAAAAGGTACTAAAAATTGGAAAAACTGAAGAAGCTTCCCTGAAAAATCTCTAGTTAGGACTCAAATACTGAAATGGAGCACAGAAACTCCTTCCTGTCTCAGTCCAGGTATTTTAATGCAAGTGCCCTGTTTCTCAGGAAAACAACTTAGAGAAATCAAGGCATGATCTCTTTTGAAGGACTTTACTTCCAGCTAGTATCAATCTCCTTTGGGTGGAAATAATTAATAAGGGAATTGTTAGAGACTCACACAAACTCTTTTGCAGTTGCAGCTTTATAGAGACTACATTGGCAGGGAAAAAAACACCTGCTTGCTGGAAAAAAAATCTGTTTTTTAAGGCTAGCAGTAGCATTATTAAAGCCACAGTATTCAAGAGGCTCAGAAGAAAAAGAGGATAAGAAACTAGTATTCAAGAGGCTCAGAAGAAAAAGAGGATAAGAAACTCACTTTTTTGCAGGGCTCCATGTTCCTAAACTATGTTTTTTAGCATAGCTATTATAAATATTAAATAAAAATAAAAGGTGGCCTCCATCTTGTCTTTGACTATTTTCTATCCTATCCTTGGCGTGATAAATCTCAATTAAGATTCCTTCAGTAAAATGACATGTTTACATCAGTCTTTGAGTTTATCCAAACGCTGGTTGATTATATTTCTTGACAGATTCTTTCCAAGTCTATGAATTGCAATTTTAAAATACCATTGTCTTTAAGAAAGAGTAAGAAAATGGAAGTGAGGAGAAGCAAGAAGAAATAAAATACAGGACGGCTTTCTATCAAATTTGTAGTAGGGTGAGTGAAAAATAAATTGCATACTACTTGAGAAGTATTACCACAAGGGAGTAAGTGATGAGAAATAACTGAAAACATACAAAATAAACAAATACATGTTTAACCACGTGCCTACCTTTCTATATAAGCCAAAGTAGGATCCAGCACCCCAAACAGTCATGATTGCATCTGTCTGGTGGTCAAGGCCATCTCAAATGGCCATTTTGTTATACAAGTGACATTAGATATTACTACATAGGCTGTGATAGACCCTGTTACAGGCTAGGCACATTTCAGGCACTTGTGAATGGATGGTCCTGAGGAGTTGGTCCTCAGATGGGTAGAAGGGGTTTAGGCAGAAGGAAAAAAGGACCTGGTGATGAAGTCTGACAAAATATTTCAATTCAATTTGGATTTGTCTGAGGATTTTGTTGCTGAAAATACCTGTCAATGCGTTATATTTTGTTTCTTTTCCTTAATAATAGTTCAGCTCTTGCAGAATCAGTTGCAAACATTGGTCTTTTTAGTTTCTATGGGTATTTTCTTTTAAGATAATACTACTGTGGAGGGTACAAATTTCAGTACCATGTTGTTCAATGATTTATCCCACATATAAACAACTTTAAAAGAACACTGGTTCAAATGTCAAATGCTATTAATTATGTATGCTATTACCAACGTTACTATATGAAATAATAATTATTATTTAATTATTTTTGTACTTATGTTGTATAACCTCAGGGTTTGGCAGGACCAACTTTAACTTTGTTTCATTGTGACAGGTTGGAATTTTCCACAACCTCAATTTTCTGTAGAAAAGTGAGGAGCAGCTTTTCCTCTGCTACTAGCCTACAGAGATTTTTTAATAAAAAGTATTTTTGCACTTGTATTATAAGGAGATTTTTACATAACACAATCACAGATAATATCCTTGAGTTAATAAAAGCCTATTCTACGGAATAAAGTATCCTGTGTTTCCATAGCCAGCTTTTCCTTAATATAATTTTTAAATATTAATATTTCTATAAATGCATGTTAAAAGTTTCCCTAAATGGTCATATTCTGTTTTTAATGTATAGATTTTAAAAATAAATAAATAAAAAAACCCAAAACACAAACCTCTATGAGCTGAAAAAATCTCCTACCAATCAGTAAAAATGGGCATTTAATTTCTTAGTTGACAATGGGTTGATCACTGTTTCCAGATTAGCAGTAATCGGTTTAAAATGTTTTAAATGAAATGACATTAATTTGGAAAAACTATTAAAGACTGTAATTGTGAGAAATACCAAAGCTGTTTAACCAAGGATTGATTACATAATCTAGCTTGATGACATTAGGAAATCCTCACATTTGTGAAAGCAATGATCACTGATCATTTGCAATTAGTTCTGTAAGTATATACATTAACTTAGCGGTTATCCTGAAGAGCACATTAATCACAGGGCACTTCTGATTTTTAAAAGTCTGTTTCCAAGCCTCTTCCTTCACCACAGGAAGCTATCCTTTGTCTCATAGTTTCACACAAACCTACTACAAATATCTATTTGCAATATTAACTTTTCAGCTTACATGAAATAAATCATGGAAAGGTCACACAGAACCTTCTACGGGCCAACAATAAAAGGCAAATTATTTTTCTCATTGGATTAAGAAAGGTTTCCTATTTTACTGGAATCTATGGAGGTTTTCACCAGGAGATTTTGTTGTCATCAGACAAATCAATTCCACTCCCATATTGTAGTCATTCCCTCAGGCACAGCTTATCTTCCCTCAGCCATACCCTTGCACTGAAATATAAATTGATTTAGAAATCTCATACCAAGCAGACTATTGCACAGAGAGCAGGGTTTTCACATTTTTGACTCAGTTCCTTTTTTCCTTTCATATCATGGTCGCTGCATGTGTCACAGAAATGGTCCTCTCAGTTTGCAAGGGCATGATTTACAATCATGGAGCAAAGATTGACCTAGGAATTATGTGAAATAATTCCACAAGGATCTGGAACTCACACGCCTCATTGTCCCTTTCAAAACTGTAGTAGGGCCGGAGATGTGCCTGTCACTACCCCAGAGAGCTTGCCTTGTAATCAGTCACACACATCCATTCATGCCCACCATTATTTTTTGGTACTTCTGAAAGTAAGTGATATGTGAAGGAGAGAAATGGATACAAATCTTGAAAGGATAAAGATGGTCTGTAAATTAAAAAGTATCAGAATGCATTTCCAAGCTCTAGAACTTGGTTCATATGGGTACATTGTTAGAAACTGCCCTGATGTGGCACTAGCCATGTAGCACTCTCCCAAGCAATAGTAGGTTTACTTTGGAGCTGGTGTGGGTGAGAAACCATTCCTTCTAGGTGGCTTGCATGAGCTTGTCTTGTGCCGAAACCCAAATGAGATTAATACTATGGACACAGTAGGTAGATCCTATCCCAGTCCTACCCCAGTGCCCATTAAAAGTGGGCACTTTTAATTTATGAGCATGAAGGCAGCTACACAGTCCATAAGTCCTCTGGTTTTAACATTGTCACAAAAATTTATTGCACAAAATAAATGTAAAGTTCAGGGTGGGGCTTGAAAGGTTGAGGAAAGGGCAAAACATCCTTGCTTGCATCGTAGCACAAACTGTAAT